AGTCGCCAGCGCCCTCCCTGTTGGGACGGAGCGGAGCCGGCTGCTCCCGGCCCCTTCCTGGCCCCTTCCCGCTGTTCCCGGCCCTTTCCCGTGCCCCGGTACCAGCTGAGGCCTGAGCCCCGTGCCGGTACCGTTGTGTGCTGCCCCCCCGTCAATACCCAGCGAAGAGCACGACGCGGCTCTGGGAGGGCCGCCCGCATCCCGGGCGCTCGGCCCAGCCGGCAGCGAGGCCCTGCAGCCCGGTGAGCACCATACCTAGGGCCGGGAAGCGCAGGAGATGTCCCGTGGGCTGGGGGCTTCTGCACTTAGGGCCGCGGGTGGAAACACTTTTATAGGCAGGAGGCCAAGAATCCCAAATAAGTTAAATTACACAGAGCTGCTAAGTACAGTTTCTGATCATTGACAGTGTCTTTGGGCTTGAACTTTATTATGGTTGAAAGCGGATTTTTTGTAATAGAGGAGATGGGGTTTAGCCACGGATCCTTTTTGGCACCGTTGTCCTTGTTTCGAACGTCCCCAGCGGGAGGGACATGTTCCCTTGCGAAGCTGGGCCTGTGCTTGTCTCCCATGGAGCCGAGGAGGATGATTCTTGTCCTTACGGGTTTATTTGCTTCGCTCTGGTGTAGGGCACTCATGAGCTCCCACATGGAAAAACAACCCCTGCGAGCTCAGCTGCCACGAGCTGACGCTGTGAGACAAGAGCTGCAGGCAGGTGCACAGGCACACAGAGCATCGTGGAGGCCTGCGGTCGTGTATGAAAGAGTAAGCAAATCCAGCAAGTTAAATAACATTTATTTGTCAGAAAATGACCTTGGTGCCTGTGAAATGCATTGCGATATTTGTGGTCCGCAAGGCTGAGTTCTCCCCATCTGTGGGGCGCACCCAACAGTGTGGAAATTCGCACACGTGTGCGTTATTCCCAGTGTGTTTGTCTCTGGGACACAGAGGGGGCAATTGGGTTAAATGGAGAAAAAGAAATCAATTTCCAAGGACAAATTGTGGCCCTTGCAATCTGTCGTTTTCTGAGACACTGTCTGCTGCATGCTAAGGCTGTTGCTTATTTCCTAGAGGCCCTAAGCAGCTGTGTTTTGCTGTTTATGAATTGAGCAAGTTGAGCAAAGTTTCTGCCAGGCACAGGAACCGCCACGTACTGAAGTGGAAGCAGATGCTGCGTTTCCCTTTCCTTTCCCGTCCCCCACGTGTTGGAGAGTTTTCCTTTGAGCCTGAAAACTGCTGCTCTGTGATTGCGCTGCTCTTCCGTGTCCCGACGGAGCATTTGATAGCAATGCTGTAATGTAGATGGGATATGGGGATAAACGGTAGTATCTTAGGCGCAGTCTTAGCATATAAAATCCAAAGACCTGAGGCAGCTTTGGCTTGTCCTGTCCCTTCAAATTCGCGTCCAGGCTCTGAAGGAAGGATTGTGGTTTGCCACCTATTGGCTCTTCCTGGTATGTCTCCATGGGAGAAAATGGCTGAAATGGAGTTAATCCTAACATAGAAAATTACTCATCACATTTTAGCTTGGGGTGTGAGTGCTACGTGAGCAGCAAGCATAGAGCGTGGCACTTGGTCTCTTCTACTAAATATCAAGACCAAAAATAAGTTCCTGTTCTGTCATTTTATCTCTTTCTGTCTTATACATTCAGCCTGCTGTTTGACATTGTTTTTATTCCCAAATGGGGAAACTTAAGGCACAGAGGTGCCCAGGGAATTAACAGCAGAGCTAGAAAGAGAGCCCTGCTCTGCTGGCTTCCCATCCTGCGCGTTCAACTTCCAGCAGATATCACTGGAAGTGGCTCTGAAGCAGAAATCCCCGGTGAAAACCAGCAGGGAAACCGGGGCTGCCTGGCAGGAGCGAACTGCATAGAACTGACTCATGAGCAGCAAACACTGGGAACCAATCCTCAGGAAAAAGGGCCCTCCAGGAAAAAACAACGTTGGAAAAGCAAGCTATTTTTGATACATGACATCGCTGCGCTGCGCAGCCCCCGCTACGTGTATTTGCTGTGTGTTTAGTGCTGCACACTGAAAGCAAACGGGAACGAAGCGGCGCTGACAAGGGGGCTCTCACGTGGCAGGGAGCAGCGAGCGCTCATCGGCAAACAATGATCCCACACACGGCTCCGCGCGGGGCGGCTTTCCCGGCTGCTCCGCCAGGAATTCCGCGTTTTTGCCAAGCCCGTCTCGAGGCGGCCGCGAGACCGACCGTGCCCCGTGCTGCTGCGCGTGTTGGTTCTGTTCACCCTCCGGGGCAGGGTGGAGGGGCAGGAACGGCCCTGCCTCGGGGCAGGATGTGCTGAGCACGGATTGCTCCCTGTGGAGCTGCAGGGAAGGGGGAAGCGGCTGCTTTGCTGCTCTGCCCGCGGCCCTTCCGCCCACCTGGAAGGGGTTTCTGCCATCCTGAGGCTTCACAGCGTGGCCCCGGCCCCGGGATTTCATTTACTCTGGCTGAGCCAGCACCAGTGATGGTGAAAACGCCTCGCTATTAAGTTCTGTTTATTTTTTTTAACCAACAAAACAAAATACAGCATATTTGAGCATTGCTTACAAGTATGTTTTTGCATAGCATATGCTGAAATAAGTCCTATATTTGTGGCTAGGCTTGTAGATGAATAGAGGGTTGTGGTGTTGAGGTAGCTGCTCTTAGCTGGGACTGTGCAGCTGCTTCATAAGCGAATTACATTTATTCTTTCTGTATTAATTGCATGCAATTGTGATGCACACTGCATGCATCATGTGCCCGTATGAACGTATATGCTTGCAAATACATATGCACATGGGAGCATGCATTTGTATAATTCAGGAATTAAATGTCATAACCTTTCAATCTAGATTATAGCCTTTTTTAAAAGAATGCTGATAGTCAGACTCTCATAACGTTGAAAAAAGTGCTAAATATGGGAAAAGGATCTGAATTCCCCAGCTGGAGCTCTGCACTACCCCAAGCAGTTATTTTAAACCAGCCTTCCTTTAATGTATACAGCTGTGCCCAGATGGGGCTTCTTTCTTTTCAGAAGTTTCCGAGCCATTTACACAAGGCTTTTGTTGTTTCCTTTCAGACAGATTCCACGGGAGGTTTATTTAAATGCCTTTAGACTTATGGTAAAAAGAGGTTGCTGGAGTTTGAGCTTTGCATTCCTCGCTGTGCCTGTGTTCGCATGCAAAGCCATCGCCTCCCCTCCAACTATTTTAATCATTTCAGAAAGGGTGGGACATCAGGCATTTGGCAGCGGGCTCCTTTTATACAGCCGAGGTGGAGTCAGCCAATGACCTGCAAGGCTGGAAAATTTTGCAGGGCAGTTGGAGTGGCCGCTCTGCGGGGCCGGTGCCACTCGCACGGCAGCTCGGGCGGCCGCGCGCTGCGCGCTCCATTTCTGGCGCGTCTCCCAGCGCAGAGTTTAGCTGGGGCTCGGGTTCAGTTTTCCCTCCTCTCTCTCTTCCCGGCAGTGACAGCTTCTCCGGGCTCCGCCAGCCAGGGCTCCCGAGCAGCCATGGAAGACACCACTTTGCAGATCATCGAACCCCCAACCGCCTCCGAGGCCTCAGAAGAGCAAGCGCCCGAGGAGCCCATCAAAGCAGACCAGATCAACGGGGTGATGGTGCTGACCCTCCTGGACAAGATCATTGGAGCGGTGGATCAGATCCAGCTGACTCAAACGCAGCTAGAGGAGAGACAGCAAGAGATGGACAGCGCCGTGACCAGCATCCAGGGCGAGCTGACCAAGCTCACCAAGGCGCACACCACCACCAGCAACACCGTGAATAAGATGCTGGAAAAGGTGCGCAAGGTGAGCGTCAACGTGAAAACCGTCCGGCAGAACCTGGAGAAGCAAGCTGGGCAGATAAAGAAGCTGGAGGCCAATGAAGCGGAGCTCTTGAAGCGCAGGAACTTCAAAGTCATGATCTACCAGGTAAGGAGCTACCCCACATCTTCATGTTTTGTTGCCGTTGCTGAGCGTTGCATCGCAGTGCACGGTCTGCTGCTCTCCTAAGCTCCCCAGTGGTGGTGAGTGCTCCCAGTTGAGGTGCTCTTGTTCGTGTTTTAGCACTGTATATTCTGCAGCAGCAGGTTTGAGGCAGTTGATGCATCCAGCAGGACGTTTAAGGAGAGTAGTGAGAATGGCCCTACCCGCTCGCTGTGCTCAGAAGCATCAGAGTATCTGAGCTGCTGCTTAACTAAAAAAGAATGAGAATGTTCTGATGTTCCGGATTCTGGAGGGGGACGTTTTAAATCGGCCCTTTGGAGTCTTTTCTATTTGAGAGGCAGCATGTGTTTCACTACACAGAGAGCGATCCTATTTCAGATTTGTGGCATGCGCCTTACAACAAGAGACAGTAACCCCAGCCCCGGGGTTGTTCTCACCAACTAGGACACACAGAGACGCTGCAGGGAATGCAGAACAGGTTTTTGAGCTCATTAGTGTCTGGCTATTTTGCTTGCACATCTTGCCCAGTTACTTGTCTGTAACCTGCAAGTCTTGAAGCTTTCAGTTTTTCGATTTCAATTAACTGCTTGGGTTTGCTTGCTACTCAGCCCCTGCACTTGCACTAAACATTGGATTTTCATCAAATATGCAGCAAGATTTGTCTCTTTTTTCCTGTCTGGAGTTAGCCTTCCTTGGCAGAGCAAACTCTCATACTGGGAAAAAGGGAGTGAAAAGGTTAATGATTCAGTTAGAAGCCTCCGTGTTAATAATAGACAGTGTCGGGGCAAATAGAGAAGCATCTAGTGCTGATCACAGTAAAAGAGGAAAGAAAAACAAAACGAAAAAAAAGCAGCACTTCCTACTAGTTTGAAAGGAGAGCTGATCATAATAAGCTCAGGAATCTAGCGAGTGTCAGGGCCTGCGTAGCTCTGATTCAGAGGTTAAGCATTTGTAGTTTTATCATGCCTGAAAGGCTGAAATACTCGAGCCTATTGACATCATGCAGGCCATCTAGCCAGTTTGATATATATATATATATATATATATATTTACTGGAAGCTCTTTATATCGTGCTTTTGGGGAAGCATAGCTCTATCCGTGGAAAAATAACCCAGACCTCTAGGTGCCCCATAGAAGCAACAAACACTGCAAAGCAAGAGAAGTGAAGGGAGTTGTTTAAACAGGACATTCCTTGTGCAGGATGAAAGTAGGTAGGAAAGCGGCCAGCTTTGAGATCCTTTGGAAGATTCCTGAGGATTGGCAGGTGGTCGTTTTGGGAACTGTTCACTTTGGTTTGTTGTTGCTCATGAATATTGAGTGGCTTTTTTTTTTTCTTGAGAAAACAATCCTGCTTCTAAAGGAAACCAGTGGCAAAACTTTTGCAATAGGTGATTGCAGTGAAGGCAGAACAACTGCTGAGTGATTCAGTTGAGACTATGGCAAGAACTTTGTGTGTCATTAAATTGGGGAAAAAATACAGAACTAAGAGATTGCAATTTGGAATTTAGTAAGGAATTTTGTGTAATTTGCATGTGAGGCTAGAGAACACAAAGGAGAAATTATCCAGGCTTTTCTCATGTGAAATGGAGCCTTTTGCACGCTCGTGAAAATCCTCACGCCTGTGCAGGAAGCCTGAGTAAACCTTGACACTAGGGCTAAGTGCCTGAGCAGGAACGTGGGAGCGAGCGCCCGGCGCTGCTCTCACAAATTGAGATTTGTATTTTATTTTTTGGTGGTGAAACTCTTGGCTTTCTCTTAATTTGGCAAATATCAAAAGCCCAATCATGGATTTTTCTTTTCAATTTGAATACTACGAAGTAAAAGGCAATAATATTAATATGTGTGAACAGCAAATACCTTTGCCTGCACTGGTTTGTGCTGCGTTACTCTGCCAAAGCAGACCGTGCAATGAGAGCTGCGATTGCTGCACTGGGACCAGAGGGAATCCCTTGGAAGAACTTTCTGTATTTTTGCAGTCCCCTGCAATAGTGTAACCACTTTCCCCTACATAGAATGGAAACAGATTTTGGGGTAACAAAATGTTTCTTAAGGGTATCAGCCCACGGTCGCAAAGCTGCTTCTGCAGGTTTCTGTGTGACTTTTTTGACATTCCCAAAACATTAATTGTAATTTCCTATACAGAAATTGGATGGTTACCTAATAGCTGCATTATTCACACAATTTGCACTTCATAGAAATGTCATTGCTTAATTTTCATTGCCCAGAAACCTGGGTAGTAAGGCCTTGTATAAGGAAAAATAACGCATTGTATACGGGAACCTCTTATTTGTGGAAACTTTTTACTCTGATGAAGGTTAAATATTTGAAGGATTTGGGGAGTTTTCCCTTTTGTTCGGGGGAGTTTCTATTCTGCTTTCTCTTTTTTTTTGTTGAGAGACGTAGGATTTTTAGAGTTTATTTCTGATTGCAATTGTGGAGGTGTCGTTCATCAGAAATTACCAACCCAGACCGACTGTGAACTGCAGTGCAGATCTGCAGAAATAGTAGGTTACAATATGGCTTGATTTACTCATAAGAATATTTTATTGCGTTCAGTAATTTTAGGAACATCAATTAGGAGTGATATTTTGTTTGGGATTTTGCAAAACAAATAATGCTAATGCTTTTGAATGGTAAAACTGTACAGAAAGAAGGGCTATTTTTTGTGTGCATTTTAAAGGCATTTATCAGATCTAAGATTATACTCTGCCACCTCACAGATACTGAACCATGCTCTTCATTGGCAGAAGTCTTGTTGATTCCCGTGGGAGTGCACATTTACTAATATCTTTCTGCATTTAAGTTTTCATAATTAAGTTCTTAATACTTGCAATGCATTGAGAGTCTACCAAAAAAAAAAAAGCTGTTTTATCTCTGTTCTCCTGCTTTTAGTCACAGATATAGCAAAACCAGAGGTGAAAAAATGTCATCCTGTGGGAAGAAGGGAAATAGTTTGACTCATTCCTTTGGAGTGCAGCTCTGAATTCAGCTGTGTTCTCTGTGCATTGTAAAGGGACCGTGTTGATATCCTGGGGTGTGAAGAAGCCTTCCTGGCCCCTAAACACCCCGGCTTTAGAGGAGGCTTAAGAAAATTCAGAGGAGATTTTGTCTCTAAAAGCTTCAGGTTGTTAATAGCTCGACGTTCCAGGGTTTTTCTTACTGCAGATTATCAGTCTTTCTATTCGAAGATAGTTCTGGAGCATGGATTTGTTTGCCGCAGCTAGCAATCAATTGCATTAATATTTTATTGCTCGGGCATTATTTATAAGCAATTAGTGCCAAGACTGTTTGTTTTGCTGAGGTCCTTTCACCATCATAGTGCTGTACTGAGCTGGGCAGCAATACATTATCCCAGAGCCAAGAGTTGGGGGCACAAAGGCTGCTCAGCCCCACTGGGGAAGGTTAGATGGGATGTTTAATGGCTCAAGAAAATAAAACTAGCGGCTCCTATTGCTTCTGATCACAAATCCTCTCTCAGGTGTCTCTTGTGCCTCTTGGTAGTGGATCTCAGCTCTGTCTTACACCGTGTCTGTGTGATGCCAATGGGGCACTCGGGGCTGTGCAGTGAAGGGCAGGATTTGCCCCCAGCCTCACTGTCCTCCGCTGCTGGAGTGCCCTAGTTTCCAAAGGGATCGCGGCTGTTTGCCCAGGGATTTTCCTTTTCCTTTCGCATAAAAACCCCTAAGCAGAGGCATGCAACCGATCACGGACGTGGAGAGAGAAGAACTCTCCCAAGGCCACGCACGGCCCAGCTGGCACATCCAGGATTAGCAACCAAGGAACTCGCAGCCGGAGTCCGTGCTGGGAACCGACCTCCCTCGGGAGAGGCTCAGTCCCGACCCGGCCGCAGGGCGCCCTGTGCAGGAATGTGAGTCCGAGGGGGCGAAAGCGGCCTCGTGCCATCGGCTCCGCAGGGAGGGGAGCGCCCTGGGAGAAGTGGAGCCCTTGGATATTGCCTGCCCACCGCCCGTTTTGTTCCATTTTGTTCCATTTTGTTCCCAATTTGTTTGTGGGTTGTGCAATGAGTCCTCTGCGGCGGGCGCCTTCCCCTCGTGCCCGTCAACGTGAGTCACGACGGGCCCCGAGCAGCTCACGGAGCCGCTCGCTCCGAGCACGCGCGTTCCGGGCAGCCCTTGGAAACCGAGGCCCGACCTGCACCCTGGCTGGAGCTGCTCCTTGCTGCTTTCCCTGCAAACCTGCTGGGCTCTCCACGTGGGAACGATGAGCGGAGAACTCCGCAAGCTGCGCTCTGATGTATCGGCACGAGCACGTGACCAACATAAAGCGTAAAACTCCCTCATAAGCTTTCGAGCAATGTGCTTAGTCCTCTTTCATCTTGTTTGAGGTAATGTCTCTTGATTCTGCAAGGTTTTCCACAAGTTAGGAAGCACCTGAAGAATCACAGGGCTGCTGCCCAGCTGCAAGAGGAGACAAAGCCCAGAGACAAAGATGTGCAATCTCAGTGATGGAAAATCAAATATTTAGAACAAAAAGTCTCAGGATGTTTAGTCTGCATGTTTTTTTGTGAGGCTGCAGATGTCAATTAATATCAGTATTTATCTGTCTGTAAATGCAAACTCCATCTTTATTGGTTTGCTGTTCAGAAATAGCCCCACAGTTATTAATCAGATGTGGCAGGTTTATCCGGGAGGAGCAGTTCTGAGAGTAAAGCCAGTTGTACAAACAGACTGATAACAGAATTCATTTTTTTTTTTTTTCTGACAGAGGAGAAAAAGGCATTTTTGCCCTTCAATCTATTTACTTGTGTGTTTCCTACAGCCCTGCCTTTCTTCTGACTCACATCTGGGCAAACACACTTTTCCAAACACAGCCTCCCGCTCCGTGCAGGCTGCCTGCTCCTTCCTCCCTCTCTGGTCACCATCAGATTTGGACTAGCTCCAGCATCTGCATCACGCTCCTCATTCTCACCAGCTAATGAAGAAGATAAAGCCTTTTAGGAGATAACTTCTAGGACACAGAGAAAC